ATCCTGGATTCAAAACTTAATTTTGAAGATCACATTGATTATATTGGTAAAAAGACAAAAATAAAAATTGGTTTTCTGTATCGACACAAGCACTGCTTCCCCCCAATGTTCCGTTTGGAATTGATAAAAGCTACCATACTGCCTCTACTTGACTACTGTGACATCGTGTATAAATCAGCCCCAAGTACTGTACTGAAGAAGCTTGATTCCATCTATCACTCGGCCTTAAGATTTGCATTGAACTGCCCATATAGGACTCACCACTGTGATCTCTACATTGGGTCAAACTTAACATCTCTTAATGTTCGACGGCTTGTGCACCAGATCTTATTTATTCACGATGTACTTACAAAAAATTCCGCAGACTACCTCCTGGATCTCCTCTCTGTTTCAAAGAACAAATTTGACCTCAGGTCTTCGCTCATTTACCAGCTTCACATTCCTTATTGCCGTACAAAAACTGGAGGAAGGGCCTTTGCTATTGATGCCCCCAGGGTCTGGAATGCTATTGCCAATAAACTGCAACTTGAATCACTACCTATGAGATCTTCACTCAAAACTGCTCTAGAGGAGTTGTACAACCCTAGCTGCCATTGCTATTCAGTGGCCTAAAATATGGCTCTAGATTTTGGTGTTATAATTTATTTATGTAGTTTATTGTTAAAAATTCGGTCACAGTCCCTATGATCACTGTTACATTGGATTTATGGCTTTTATTTTGGTGATTTCGAAAAGTTTTTTTTGTTTTGGCCATGTTTTTGTTTATTGTAGTACGGAGTTAGACTGATGGCCTTAATGTTAGTTGTCTTGTGGTTGTTGTTGTTATTTGACTTCCATCCCACTGGGATTTTTGCACACAGCGTTGGTGTACGGTGCTATTCCAGGAATATTTTGATATTTTTTTTCCTGTATTTTCTGTTTGCACAGTCACATAATCACTTTAAGATGTTTTCTTGTTCATGTTTTTTGTTTGTTGCGGTTGCACCCGATTCAAGAGCCGAATGGCTCACAGGGCTATACCAAATAAATTAACTATGAACTATTTCCCGTTGCTGAAGTTTTCTCTCTCTCGCCCCGCCCCTCCGTCTGACGTCATCGGTGACGACAGCCCAGGGAGCGATGACGTCACCGCAACGGCGGCCACGTGACGCCGCTGGACACGCCCAGAAGCGCGGCAACCCCATTAGATCGATAGGCCATCTAAGGACACGGCAACCCGGTAGGCTACCAAACAGAAAAATCAGAATATTTATACTGGAGGAATACGATGAGCTATAAAGCAATTTTCACAGATGTCCAGGCGGAGTTCAGATCAGAACGTTCAGAACGTTACAACAACAAGCAATACAAAAACACAATAGGAGTGTAAAGTATAGGAAAAGTAAACAAATCGATTAAATATTTATACAAATAAAACTAAACATTTTTTATATCTCAGCAGGTAAAAAAACACCTGTTAGGTGGCCTACGGTACTCATGCTATTTAGCAAATAAATGAATGGTTCATCATGATCACGGTGTGTCCCCTGCACATTTCATTTGTTTCCACTTTCCTCTGCCTTGTGCTATATATGCTCAAGTGTTGAACATCTTTTTTGCACCAATCTCTTATGTATAGTTAAACACACATACATATGAAGAAATAAATAATGGGTTAAAACATAATTTGCATATCACGCTATGTCTAGTAAAACGACAGTATTAACTATATTACTCGTGTCACTGCACTATCAATTGCCCATTGACGTAAATTAATTAATATGCAGTATTTAAAGTAATATAAATGTAATTCTAATTGTCCACGTAATTAACGCATTACTAAACTATATTCTTTGGTTCTTTCGGTAAAGTCACGTAGGTAGAAAAAATAATTCCTGATGACGACTGGTTGCTTGTGTTGCGATGGAAACGTGGTTTTTTATCTTTCATTTTTTCTATCTACGTGACTTTACCGAAAGAATATGAATTCCTGCAGTCACGAAAGCGTTAAGTCAAAATATTAAACTATATACTGGAGTGATCCACAGACTACTAACACATGCTACTCTAGTGCCTCCGTGAGCTGATAACACTCACAACATGAAACAGCAAAAACAAAACGCCACGCGTTGCTCAACAAAAAGCTTTACAATATCATGGTAACATAAGCTAGTTTTAAAACAATCTCCAGCAATAGATTTTTTTGTTTTGCCAAGAGCATACATTGGTACTGTACACCAGTAGGTTGCATGTGGTTGGGTAAAAGGTGGGTCTTCCTAACTCTTCCATTACGTCTGGTCAATGTGAAAGAGTAGGCCAAATACTCTCCAAGAGCTCCCTGTAGTGGAAGAGGCCCTTCCTTCCACCAGGAGTGGCGTGAACAAATAAAAATGAACTGCACCACCACCAATTTGACCCACCCGCCAAACACCCACATTGATTAAAACAAAAATTATATTCCAAATCCCCTCGTGAAACATTGGAAAATTACTTCCAAATATCGCTGCCATGAATCCGTTTTGCCATACATTCGGGCACAGGACTGGAAAAAAAACACTGATGAAGGATGGGGGCAATGTTTTGGGGCAAGGGGTGATGAGTGTGGTAATTAGCAAAGGGAGATGGTGACATTGCACAATATAATGCATTGGCTGGGTCAAAAACACAAATAACATCGTGTAGACCGGGCTGCTTCATTTCTGAGACTTGGATATCATGGTCCAGACTGTGTCAAACCTGGATGATCAACCTGTTTTTGATGTACTGTACTGTAGTTGACCTGGGAAATGTGTAAGTATTACCGGAATATTAAAAGTCCAAGTCTTTTTTGTAGCGGGCCTGTGTACCTGCAATGCAGTGGCCGGAGAGCCTCAATGTCCGCTGAACAACGTTATCTGAAGTGCTAAATTTTAAAACGACACTTTCCCTTGGAGACTAATATTACACTCTATAATTATTGTCATCTTTGCCTTTGTGATAGAAAATGTGGCCATTATTCACAGGCCGTGTAGTGTTTCTTCCCAAGGGCATCTGCTAATCTATCAGTATTTGTGTAGCAAACCTGATCCTGCTGATGAGACCCAGGTCAAACAAAACCAGTCTAATTTGCTTGCTTTCACCTATTGGGCTTTACATTCCACGACTGTATTTTCCATCATGTGTGTAAACAGGCGAACTCGTATCAGGTTTTAATCCTCATGGCTCGTCATCAGCAGTGAGGCTCAGGTGGAGTGAAACTAGTCAACACTCCACATCAGTGTTCTTCACAAATGTTTAGTGGGGGGCCACTTTCGCCGACAAGACACCATCACAGTGTCAGGGCCGCCACACATTTGAAACTGTTTTGGTTTGACAGCAGCACGATGGGCAGTGTTGTCACTCGTTGTGTGTTGTCGGGGCCGCACTAAAGGCCACCAAGGGGCCCCTGTGGCCCGCGGGCCTTGCAATGAAGAACACCGCTCCACATCAACACTGAATGGGTACATATTCTTGGTTCTTTCGGTAAAGTCACGTAGAAGGGAAACAATAAAATAATACAAATATAAAACAATACAATTTTATTGTTTTATAAAATAATAACATTTTATTGTTGGCCGCAGAGCCTCAACATTTTATTGTTTTATATTTTTATTATTTTGTTTCCCTTCTACGTGACTTTACCGAAAGAACCAAGAATATGAATCCCTGCAGTCACGAAAGCTTTAAATTAAAAAAAACTGAATGGGTATGCACGCATGCCACCCACAGTGTATTGATTATTCGCATTAGACTATACAGCACATCACATTTTAAATTAAAACATGTTTTTAATCAGGCTACATGCTACATACTAGTCTACATGCTACATACTAGTCTACATGCTACATACTAGTCTACATACTAGCCTACATGCTACATACTAGTCTACATGCTACATACTAGTCTACATGCTACATACTAGTCTACATGTTACATACTAGTCTGCATGCTACATATTAGTCTGCATACTAGTCTACATGCTACATACTAGTCTACATGCTACATACTAGTCTACATGCTACATACTAGTCTGCATACTAGTCTACATGCTACATACTAGTCTACATACTAGTCTACATGCTACATACTAGTCTACATACTAGTCTACATGCTACATACTAGTCTACTTACTAGTCTACATGCTACATACTAGTCTACATGCTACATACTAGTCTACATGCTACATACTAGTCTGCATGCTACATACTAGTCTACATGCTACATACTAGTCTACATACTAGTCTACATGCTACATACTAGTCTACATACTAGTCTACATGCTACATACTAGTCTACATGCTACATACTAGTCTACATACTAGTCTGCATGCTACATACTAGTCTACATGCTACATACTAGTCTACATGCTACATACTAGTCTACATACTAGTCTACATGCTACATACTAGTCTACATGGTACATACTAGTCTACATGCTACATACTAGTCTACATGCTACATACTAGTCTACATACTAGTCTACATGCTACATACTAGTCTACATGCTACATACTAGTCTACATACTAGTCTACATGCTACATACTAGTCTACATGGTACATACTAGTCTACATGCTACATACTAGTCTACATGCTACATACTAGTCTACATACTAGTCTACATGCTACATACTAGTCTACATACTAGTCTACATGCTACATACTAGTCTACATGCTACATACTAGTCTACATACTAGTCTACATGCTACATACTAGTCTACATGCTACATACTAGTCTACATGCTACATACTAGTCTAAGTAAATATTCTCAGACAATCCCTAGGCAACATGGCGCCACTTTTAGCACGCCTTGCCACACGTCACTGGCACTGCACACAGGGTGGTCCAGATGTCTTGTGACCCCCCCCCCCCTCCCCACATTCAATTATCTAAAATGTAATGAAAAAATATATATAGCATTTATTTAAAACGGAAATGAATGTGGAAAAGAAAAAAAACATTTAGGCGTCAATTCATTCCGGGAGGGGGGGGGGTCACAAGACATCTGGACCTGTGTGAACTGCGCGTGAGTTGGTTATTGAAGTCGCCCCGAGGGCGTTTTGCGTTTCCGCAACTCGACTGGGCAACGGAGCAACACGGAACTCGAGCCAGGTACAGCCTCGTCTCCTCGTCTTTCCTCATTCCTCCTCCTCATAATCTTCGTCTATTTACTTCACGCCTCGTTATTCTCTATCGTTCCCCCCCTTCCCTTTCTTTAGAGCTGCCTTTTTGTGTTTAGTTTGTTGTCCTTCACAACCCCCCTCCTCCTCGTACCTCTACGGTTGGGCTACGTACGGCGCGATAGAAAGTCCCTTAATACGGTGCTGTACGTCTCTCCCTCCTCGTCTCTCCTCTTCATCGTCCGTCTCGCACATCCTCCTCATCACCACCACTGCCAACCCCTCGCCGTCGTCTCTCCTCACGCTGTATCTGTCGTCGTTTTGTACAGAAAATTTCCACTCGGAAGGCTTCGCGATGGCGTCCCGGGGCTGCCTGTACGCCACGCGCTACCTCATCATCATCTTCAATGTCATCTTCTTTGTAAGTGCTTGCGAAGAGGCGGTCGTGGGTTTGGGCATGTACGCTTGTGATGGATACGAGGGACATTGAGGGCGGGGTTGGTGGATCGCCCTGGGAAGAGAGCCATGGTGATGATTTGGCTGAAATGATGCCCGACTTATTGGGCATCGAGGTGGTAGTATCTGTGGGACATTTTGTTGCCAGTATCCAAAATTAATCTTTGTTTTTTTTAGGTAAAGTCACGTATAAATAAGAAATAATAAAATAACATAATAGCGTGCGACGTTTCGGTTGCAACACAAGCAGCCATCATCAGGTACAGAAGAGCTAAATTTACGAGAGAGGGGAAACACATAACCCCAGATGTATACACAGACACCCAAGTAGGGGGACCTAACACCGACACAATAGGGGACACAGAGAGAAGCATACCAAACAGAGTTTAGCAGAATTTGGAAACCATATAAAGCAACACAGACGGTCGGTCAAAACACAACGCATAGCCTGGTTGATTACGTTATTTCAAAGATTGCTAAATTAGTATCCAAAATGATGAAAAATAACAATAGGGTTTTTTTTCACCCATTCTGGCAATAAAACAGGTGTTAAGGTGTTCAAACGCCAAATAGATACATTTTGCAAGGGATCAAGTCTGCATTAAACCACAGATACTTGTGGCAAAACACGCGATAACATGTGATAATGAGGTGATAATGACTGCAATGGGTACAGAAAGCCGACTGCGAGATTATCAGGAAACTCGGGGTTGTTCGGGTTCGCCTGTGGCCCCCCTCACAACCATTTACGGCCTTAGGCCAGGAAAGTCACGAAAAATTGCACACGAAACGACGCATTCACGCAAAGCACCCGATGCTCCGTTTTGAATTGTATTGTTTTGAATTAGATAATGTTATTTCTTCATTAAAAGCTTATGTCATTTTACATCTGGAAGGCTTATTTGAAAAGGACATTTCGTGTGAATTTTCTCTCGTCGTTAAGTAGATGGCCTTGCTGGGTATTCGGTTCGATGCGGACTTTCGCCTGTTTGGTATTGCGGGATCGAGATAAGGCGACAGAGCTGCTGGCCGTTCGAGAAGACCGCCGTCTGCAGATCGATTCCATCGTAATCAAACGTCTGTCCCTGCGCCTCCGTCGTTCATATGCAGGGCGCGCGTAGGTTTGCAGCGCCCCCTGCAAGATAACGACGAAAGTGCAGCGTTCATCACAGATAGATAAAGTTGTGCGCTTATATAAGAGTATGGCAGCGCAACATTTAAATCTTTAATCCGCTTCTGCTGATATATTTTGTGGGGTGTTTTTGTATGCTCCCCTGCCTGGATTTCATCCTCGACTCGGGGCATTGTGACCTATGCAATAGTCCACATTTAAATTTCGATTTAAAGCTTTCGTGACTGCAAGGATTCATCTTCTTTGGTTCTTTCGGTAAAGTCACGTTGAATTAGAATAAAATAATAAATTGATAAAATAAAATAACACAATAATATTCTCACGACGTTTCGGCCACAACACAAGCGGCCTTCATGAAGGCGTGACTTTACCGAAAGAACCAAAGAAGATGAATAGTCCACATGTTTTACAAGCTCGCAGGCTTAGGAGGTCGTGGGACCCACCCAGGTGTTATGGGCTACAGTGAGCCCAATTAACTACAGCGGGATCAAAGGAACACAAAGTATACAGTACAGACTTCGCAGAATGAGAAGCTTTAGTTATCCTGGAGAAATCTGATGAGCTATGAAGCTTTTTTTTCACAGATGCCCAATAAAGAGGTGAGTGTGCTTACTTCGAAACCTGGTAACTACCATCTCAGAACTCGCCTATTAAAATAACACTGGTTGTAAATAACCTCCAACTTTGGTTCAAACTTTATGCAAACAATGATGAACATCGCATTGTAGAAACAGGACATTGCTAATTTTCTGGCCATCCCAGTCCCGTCATTGCCCTAGTGTCTCCCCTCGCATCCCGTCGGGGTACCTTGCCTTTGAATGTAAGTTTGCTGTTGTCCAAGCTTAGCAAAGTTGCAGTGGTTGACATTGCCACTATTATATGGTGAATGAAGCTTGTGTGTGTGTGTGTATATTTGCGTTCATATGTGGGCACTTTACCCTTTTCGTACGTATATTTCAGACACTTTAAAGCAGATTATTATAAGTATATAATATAAGTATAATCATGAAATGCCTTTTTACTTGGCCATAGTGTGACCAAAAGCATCTTTCTCGGACAGTTATGAGGATGACACTACAGTGAGGGAAAAAAGTATTTGATCCCCTGCTGATTTTGTACGTTTGCCCACTGACAAAGAAATGATCAATCTATAATTTTAATTGTAGGTTTATTTGAACAGTGAGAGACAGAATAACAACAAAATCCAGACAAATGCATGTCAAAAATGTTATAAATTTATTTGCATTTTAATGAAGGAAATAAGTATTTGACCCCCTCTCAATCAGAAAGATTTCTGGCTCCCAGGTGTCTTTTATACAGGTAACGAGCTGAGATTAGGAGCACACTCTTAAAAGGTAACTACTGAGATTAGGAGCACACTCTTAAAAGGAGTGCTCCTAATCTCAGCTTGTTACCTGTATAAAAGACACCTGTCCACAGAAGCTATCAATCAATCAGATTCCAAACTCTCCACCATGGCCAAGACCAAAGAGCTCTCCAAGGATGTCAGGGACAAGATTGTAGACCTACACAAGGCTGGAATGGGCCACAAGACCATTGCCAAGCAGCTTGGTGAGAAGGTGACAACAGTTAGTGCGATTATTCGCAAATGGAAGAAACACAAAAGAACTGTCAATCTTCCTCAGCCTGGGGCTCCATGCAAGATCTCACCTCGTGGAGTTGCAATGATCATGAGAACGGTGAGGAATCAGCCCAGAACGACACGGGAGGATCTTGTCAATGATCTCAAGGCAGCTGGGACCATAGTCACCAAGAAAACAATTGGTATCACACTATGCCGTGAAGGACTGAAATCCTGCAGTGCCCGCAAGGTCCCCCTGCTCAAGAAAGCACATATACATGCCCGTCTGAAGTTTGCCAATGAACATCTGAATGATTCAGAGGACAACTGGGTGAAAGTATTGTGGTCAGATGAGACCAAAATGGAGCTCTTTGGCATCAACTCAACTCGCCGTGTTTGGAGGAGGAATGTTGCCTATGACCCCAGGAACACCATCTCCACCGTCAAACATGGAGGTGGACACATGCTTTGGGGGTGTTTTTCTGCTAAGGGGACAGGACAACTTCACCGCATCAAAGGGACAATGGACGGGGCCATGTACCGTCATCTTGGGTGAGAACCTCTTTCCCTCAGCCAGGGCATTGAAAATGGATCGTGGGGGTATTCCAGCATGACAATGACCCAAAACACACAGCCAAGGCAACAAAGGAGTGGCTCAAGAAGAAGCACATTAAGGTCCTGGAGTGGCCTAGCCAGTCTCCAGACCTTAATCCCATAGAAAATATGTGGAGGGAGCTGAAGGTTCGAGTTGCCAAACGTCAGCCTCGAAACCTTAATGACTTGGAGAAGATCTGCAAAGAGGAGTGGGACAAAATCCCTCCTGAGATGTGTGCAAACCTGGTGGCCAACTCCAAGAAACGTCGGACCTCTGTGATTGCCAACAAGGGTTTTGCCACCAAGTACTAAGTCATGTTTTGCAGAGGGGTCAAATACTTATTTCCCTCATTAAAATCCAAATCAATTTATAACATTTTTGACATGCGTTTTTCTGGATTTTGTTGTTGTTATTCTGTCTCTCACTGTTCAAATAAACCTACCATTAAAATTATAGACTGATCATTTCTTTGTCAGTGGGAAAACGTACAAAATCAGCAGGGGATCAAATACTTTTTCCCTCACTGTACATACTATGTCTAGTGTCATTGGTGTTGGATGTACTTCGACCGTCCCACGTTTTCATCGACTGAAATGGTGATGTGCATTCAGATTCGGATGTGTTTCAAATCAGAAAAAATCCAGATTTTTTTTAAGTATAATTAATTACCTTCAAAACGACACTGCATAGTTATTAGTACAATTTTGAAATTGTGACTTGAGTTTGCCTGATTTGTGGAACTAACCCATCTGTACACACATGCAGCTGCTGGGCTTGATCATAATGGGCTTTGGCCTGTGGATCGTATACGACCAGCAAAGCTTTATCAACACCGTAGGTGAGCCCTAAAACAGTACATTACATCCGTACAACAATGGCTATTTATCAATAAGTGATGTCACAACTGCATTGTACTAGGAAAAGTGCACTTTTGAGACCAGGTTAAGTTTTAAAGGTTCACTGGCAGGAGGTCAATGGACAGACCCAGGCGTGTGAACTAACTTAGACAATAGACAGATGCACCCGGTGTGCTCCCATGTCACCTTGCTTTATTTTAGATGCCGGGCACTCTGCTCCTTGTGAATGTTGGTCCTCCTCCCTCCTTTAATGTTGAAGGGCTGCTATCTCTCAACTGTCAGTAGTAAATGACGGGCAACTTTTATGAGCCCTCCGCTAAAGAGGCCAGTCTTGACATAGTAGATACCATTTGTCAGCAGGTCCAACAGTATGCATTTATGCACTCGTATGGACCATGCCAGCATGCGTAAAAAATTGTTTGCATGTTTACACATTTACTCGTTCTCATACACGAGGGGGGCAGGCTGTCATATGTTTTTTTCTGGCCAAACCAAAATGATGGTCCTACATGCACACACACTCAACATGATACACAATAAGACAAAGATCCCCCATATAGCCTGCATGTACTTTTGGGGCAAATTCTGTTGGCATTATACACACCTCATACCACAAACACCTTGATACAAACACACACATTGACTACGCTATATACATGCATGCACGTGTGTGTGTGTGAGCAAATTGTAAACAAAAAATAGGACACGGGACACCTGGCATGAGGGACAGTGTTTAAATTGCGAAACTAAACAAACAATACATAACACCACGTGTTGACACACATTCTGAGCTCATTCTCGAAACCTTCTGCCTCTACCTTGCAGTAATTGACGGCAACGTTGAACTCACCATTCCAGCGTATGCCCTTGTTGGCATAGGCAGCATCACGTGCCTGGTGTCACTCTTTGGCTGCTTGGGTGCCAGCAAGGAAGTGCGCTGTCTACTGGCTGTGGTGAGTGAGACGACACTAATATCACGGTGTGGCACAGCACAGCTGTCATTACTCCACTGACTTGGCAGGGTTTGGTTAAGAGACGAATAGTTAGAGCCAATACCACTGAGATCCTGGAATAAATATTCTTTGATTCTTTCAGTAAAGTCACGTAGGTGAAAAAATAAAATAAATTAAATCACGACGTTTCGATTGCAACACAAGCAATCATCATCAGGTGTGACAACCACATCACCTTGATGATGATTGCTTGTGTTGCAATCGATTGCAATCATCATCAGGTGTGACAACCACGTCACCTGATGATGATTGCAATCGAAACGTCGTGATTTCATTTATTTTTTTCACCTACGTGACTTTACCGAAAGAACCAAAGAATATGGATCCTTGCTGTCGCGAAAACTTCAAATCTAGAAGCCTGGAATAAAATTCCAAACTTGTAATGAATATTATACTAGCTTACACAAGATTAACAAGTAGTTAGTTTTTATTTTCAAGTTATTTTTTATTGCACTGATGCTATGCAAGTCACTTCAGGAGGATTACAAATGTCCAAGAAACATGGGACACTCCTGTCCAATAGGTCGTTGAATAAAATCAGGGAATGTCCTTGTAAGAAGATGCTGCAGAACTGCTTCAGTAGTCACTTCAGTTGGCTTTTGTAATCAAACACAAAGCAGTGCTCCTTTATTTGTCTGTAAATTATGTTTTTTCACATTTTTTGTGATTCATATCCGGAGCGGTAATTCCCATTTGGGTTGGAGAGGTATCGCAGTGGCCAGCGTACTTCGCTATGAACCCAATCAACTTAAGTTTGGTGGCCAATGGCTAACATCAATGGCAAGCGATATATCTTGCGCCCTTCCCTTCGCTAACTAGCACACAGCATGGGGAAGTATGATAAAAAAAATAACCTTACATGATCGACCACAGCATGGGGAGGCTTTCTTTCCTGCATTATATTGACACAGGGCTGTATCTCTTTTGCCATCATATGTTCTTTGTGCTGTTCCATAATTTATTGTGTGCTGTGCCTTATATTCACGTATTATTTTGTGGTTGTTGCATTTGTCGTACTGTGTGCAGTTTAGTGCGCTGTGTTCTGTGTCCTGTATTTTTTTCATGTCTGTAGAGTGGTGCTCATTTGCCATTTTCTCTGTGCTCGCTTCATTGTGCAGTACTTTATATGTCTGGTGGGATTGCTCGTGGCCCAAGTGGCGATAGGGACTGTTGTTTACATCAACAAGGAGAAAGTGAGTGCTTTCACACCAAACGATGTGCCTTCAACATACATACGTACCTACCTATCTCACACATTGTCAATGCTACATGCGTATCTTGAACACTTTACACGAGGGTTCATCAACTTTCATTTACATTTTGTGCTGCTGGGTCATCTGACATAGCATCAGTACATGTGACTGCTAATCTGTACTCCTTGTCTTTAAGTCTATAATTAATCTTGTCTTTCTCTCCTTCATATCACTGTTCTGTTTCTGTTTACAGCTCTCTCATTTCTTTCCTGTTATTTCTCTTTCATCTCACTAATGTATCTCATTTCTTGCCAAGCCATATCTCTCGGATGTTCATAGCTTCACTGACCACTCAGAGAGCCAAACATATTTTGCACACAACATACTAACTACATCCTATTTGCCATATACACACTGTACACAACATACAATGTGTCCATGATGAACCACAACTATTACTAAATAGCACAGAAGCCATGTTTTATGGGAATTCATTGGGTTACATTATCCTTTCATCACACCTTCATATCACACTCCAATTCTACTCTCCCCATCACACGTAACTTCTTGATAGTAGTTACTTGAGGCTCCAGTTGATGGGGTATGTAAATCTCCACCAAATTTCAAGTTACGTTGTGAATGTGGTTTTAGTAAATAATTGAAATAGAGGAATGTTTGTAGTTAGATTCATAATAAAAACAATAATGCACCATTGCCAGCCTTTCATCAGAACATTTCTGTGATGCTACGTGAAGCTGATGAAGCCACTGCCATCACATTCCAATTATCCAGTTAAACTTCAGATGTTTCTTGAAGCTGGGAAACCCAAGGTTCCATTTTTCTCAATCTCAAGCTGGTACCAGGAGCCGCTACTGCGCCCTGCTGCTAGTTGTTGGTCTCAGCAGTCACCAAAGATTGTGCAAAAAACAAAAAGCACATTTAAAATGGATTCTGCACTCGGATTTGGATAATTCCAGCTTTGAGACTGTCATACGACAAACATTTCTTAAAAGTTCTTAATGGATTTTGTTTCTTAGCATGATGTCGAGAGCACAGCTAGAATACAATTTGGGAAAACAAAAAAAACAAAATCAAACACCATCATACATCACCTCACGTCACCGCACATCTCTGTACTTGACCGTGTGCATGCGTGTTGTCATGCAGATCAACAACAAGCTCAACGGCGTCGCATTTAACATCATCAAATCCTATTGGAATTTGAGCACAGAGGATCCCCTGCACACATGGAGACTGTGGGACAGCATCCAGCAGAAGGTGTGAAATCCTGGGGTTCAGGGGTCATCGCTCGGCAACTTAGCAGCGACACGATACCCTTGGCTCGAGCGTCGCAGTTCAGAGGCTAAGGGTCAGTCAGGCATATGGGACAGCCTTGTCACATGGGCTCTTCCACTGACACTGTAGAGGAAAGAATGCAGAGGCTGAGGGTTTAAAAATAATGGCATGTTTATTGAGTAATTACATCTCAGTTGTTACCAATCTATTTAGGCACGTGGAAGTATTTTTCCCCGTTTTTACAGCAGAAGTAAAAGTTATGTTGAGCAACCTTACGCTTGACTTGGCACACCCTCCACTCAACATGATAGTTGAATGAGACCGACTTGAGTTAAATAAAGCTAATTTGAATTCTGTTATCTTTTTATTATTTAATTTGTTACTGGGCTGAGATAATCAAAATCTCTGCATCTGAGAACTTAGCTTTTTAATCAATGATCAGTAAGTCTATAGCTTGACAGAAACGTCAGTGCTATAATGACTCGGAATGAATACTCACCGCATGCATGTTTTGTACAGCTCCTTGGGCCTCCGGGTGAAAGGTGCTTTAGAAGTGTAAATTATTATTGTTATCATTTAAAAGTAGATGGTTTTTAGGATGACCAATTTGGGCATTTAAAATAATGGATAAATCTTAAGCATGAATCTAGTTTAAAATATTTTCAAAGGCAGGGAATGAGCCTGCAAAAAAATCCACACAGAAATGGAAATATTTGGCTAATCGGCTCCATCTTATTCCATGATTGGAGAAGTGGTGGATTGTGTTTAATTATGGAAGAGAGTCTTTGAAGATGGTGCCCCATCTGTACTATCTTTCAACTTTTGTCACTCGGGGGAATATCGAATCAGATGGTATCGTCTTGGAAAACCATGAGAAAGATTTCTTAGACTCTTCATCCTTCTTCATATGGCACCACACAAGCCATGTAATGGATATAAAAAATGTATGTGAAAAGGTGGTGGCTTATTTTGTCTGTAAACCAAAGCTTCGTGGATTTTGTGTAAAAGAGTATAAATCACCCCCCCCCCACCCATCGAAAACATTTATAACTTAATTTGTAAAGTAATACAAATTAGCACTGCTTCTACTGGGGATTGAACAGTGCAGCGGTTAGAGATATATATTGATTATCATGCTGATTTGGTTCAGGTCGCTGGTTCAATTCCAAATGCTAAACATGTGCCTTTTGCAAGAAATGTATTACAAAGTGTCTCCAGTTAAAATATCGAGGGTTTAAGGCCACTTAATTTGTCGTCAAGTTAAAACCATTGTTCCATTGTCTATAAATAAAGTACATTTGGAATATTATCTGAAAGTATAGGTCCATAAATTAGGAAAACGCAGTCAAAATTTTAAAATCATTCGAATATATCTTACGGTGTCACTTTGAAAGTTATTATCTATGGTTTTCGAAAATATGGCTTATAGTGGAATATGACGGTAGTTTTACGCACACATGAAACTGAATGCACCATCACCACCATCCAACCATAGCTGAAAAAGTCAGTTTGTCAGAGTATATCCGACACCGTGAAATTTCATGAGCATTTCTCTCTCATCAAGAGCGGTATACAAATTATTCTTATCTGAATTACAGTCGTTGTTGGCTAATGATTATACAAATTATCATTTCATTTTACACTTATTTACCTAGAAAAGCCTCACTGGGTCTCAAGACTATTTTCCCAGAGAAAAATCCATGCGACCACGGAAAGAAAATGCAAACTCCAAATATGCAGGCGTCAGGGTCTGAATCGAACCCACGACCTGTATACAAGGCGAGGTAGTTAACACATTGCCACCGCGGCGTCCTATTAATTAGGGCAGCCTGTTGAATTCAAACTGAAACCCACTACAATAAGCAGCTGATGTGCTACCGCTTGGGTCATGTCACTGCCCATTGATTTCCCATATCTTTAAAGTGTCGCAAGTGTATGTCCGAATTGTGACGCTGTCCATAGCTTATGAAACGCATCTGTTCTCTCCTACCATTACACAGTTCAACTGCTGTGGACTGAACGGCACAGAAGACTGGAAGGACAACGTCTACATTTGTGACCAGGCAACATACCCGGATATCACCTATCCCTGCAGCTGCTTCAACAACAGTAGTTCCGTCCAGAAAGACCACAATAACACGCAGTTTTGCATCTCGTCGCCTACATTTGCTATTGCCGAGCAGGTAAGGGGCAATTGTTCCTCTGTAACTGTCTCTTTTTCCCAATGCAACAGTTACAAAGCCATATCTGCAATGGCTTTGTGTCCTAAAAACACTCAATCTGAATCGGGCAATATCTAGACCCCACATATAATAAGAACAACTCATTAATGGGTCCGTCTGTCAGCCACCGCACATGAGTAATTTTCATAGTACAAAGTCAGTAACGACTCATTCTGACTGCAAGGAATCACAGACATGGTTTTGAAGATGACTCTTGTGCGACCTTATGACCTTTTGTGTAGATTAAAAAAACACGACTGCAAATAGATTATGCAATCATATAGCCACTAGAGGGCAGCATAAGCTCTAATGCTAGCTGATACCAGCCTGTTCTTATTGAATGGGTGACTTTTTCGTTGTGAACTAGTCTTGTGCTTGATTGAAAACATCAGGATCAGAATAATTCCTTAGTATGTTCCACCTTCAGTCTTGAGTGGCCTTCATCTCACTGTCTCGCCCACTGCGTATGCCTATGCTTAAGGTTCACTGCTTTTCCTCATTGGTTATGATTTGGTTTGGGTCTCATGTCAACGTGTTGCTGTATTGTATTTGTGTGCTGTGTCTCTGTATGCCTCACTTCATGTGTATTTTGTGTTGCTTTTATGGCAGAGCATCTAGTGATGCCACTATTTCACATTGCAAACCACTCTGTTTATGATTTTGTGTGTTCATGCATCTGACAATGTGGAATGTGTGGAAATGTGAAAATGCCAAGAAAAACGAGAGGTGTGTAATTGTAGTTTGTTTCCTTTGCAATGCCAGCGACCTGGGTTCGCAGGTGCCAATGGTGCAATTAGATTTTTGGACATCGAGGTAAACGGTCTTAAAATTAAACCACGTGCCCATCATCAGCATTGGGGGATAACGATGACTGCACGTGAAGCTCACCCATCCACCCTCTTGTGTGGCAAGCTGACCTGAATATGAAATAACAACACTAGTCCAGCAGCCTATGGGGTTATAAAGGTTTCTATCCCCTCTGTGCCTATGTGTGAATGTGTGCATGGGTATTTACAAGCTCGTGTATTTGTGTTCCACAGGGGTGCGAAATGCACATCAAGGATTGGCTGCAAGCCAACATGTCTGTCATCCTCGCAGTCTGCGTGGCCATTGCAGTGTTTGAGGTAACACACAAAACTCGTTGGCACGTGTCAAGACGGGTACTGCAAGATCTGACCATGTCCGTCCAATGCTCGACAAACTGCATTGGCTTCCGGTTGTCGATCGATTACATTAAAAGGTTGCACTCGTTACACACTTAAGTGCTTGCCACAAATGAACCACAATACCTTGCTCTCGTCAAGGAGCATAAACCATGACACGAACTCTGGTCATCCTCGTGGCTGCTTTTGGCTAGGCATCGAACGGTCACTGCATTGCACGCTTTCAGATGCGCTTCTTCCTTCTAAATCCAGATTTAAAACTTATTTATTTCGAATTGCTTTTTGATTTAGTTGTCCTTCCCCCGCACCTTTGATCAGCACAGTTGGCCATGTACGGTGCGAAAGAAGTTCAACACGCATACATACACCAACATCTTCCACTCTTTTTTTATCTGCCATCATATCTTCTATACCTATTTTGGAAGCCTAATTTTTTTATCAAGTTCTAAACATGCAGCAAGTAGCCTGGAGTTTGGGTTTATTGGCAATAGGTTATTCTCCCCCAATTAACCCCAACATTGATATACAGTCCAGTGGCGTTTAAAGTTTAAATATATTTTTTAGGTCTGGACTGATACTATAAATGTTACCGTTGTAATGCTTGACTGAACGCGATTGAATTCATCCATACACGTTCGCTTAACAAACAAACTATAATTTTCGGAGGGACGCAACTATAAAACACAAAAGTGTGCGTGCCTGTCTAGGGCAATTATTGTATGTGGACTGGGATCAAAATAATGAAAGGATGGATTTATTTTGGAAACTTTTATTTGATCATGAAGAACAGGATAACAGTGTGCCCTATGTATATCACTAGCCGCTCCTGTTAGCCATATCCAATAATTTTACTTAGAATGAGGGTTTATAGTGCGATGTGCTAACCACCGTGCCACAACTTGATATAATGTAAAGGGGTGGTAATGCAATTACTTGCTTGCGACACCGCTAGAAAAGGGCCTCCACTATATCGAGCTCTAGAGAGCCCCTTTCCAAACTGTCTAGATGCCTTCGAAGAGGCGGCATCACCCACAATTTATACCACCAAAGTAACTGGCGTGTTCTCATTAAAACTGCTGGGTGGACAAGGGCAGAGTAAGATTTAAGGAACGTGTCCATTGTTTCATCTGCCATGCTGTGAGATCGAATTTGGTGACCTCCCAATTGCAAGTCCAGTGTGCAATGCGTTATACCAAGGCAGCATCCCTTGGGATGTATAATCGGTTGTATAAAGAATACATAACATCAAATATATGGAACACAAGTTTCATGGTGCTCCAGACTTGTAGGAACAACAGAGGAGAAAGCAAAGCCTCCCTCTCATCATGTTTGGCGTTTGATGATGAGAGTTTTGGAGAAAAGCCCTGCAGGGAAAATACAAGGGAAATGAGATCAGAGAAATGTGTGGGATTGAGGCTATGAGTCATTCACACCTTTCCTGTTTTTTTCACGTGTCTGTTGGAATTGGTTCAATTGATTTACGCATACATTAATGTTAACAGCATTTTACATATGCTTTGTAAGTTGCGATTTAAACGGGCTATAAATAAATACGGCGATGAGTGATTATTGAGCAAACGTCCACTGGTCCACATTTTTATAAAAAAAATGTATCTAAAACTCCTGTTCCAGATTTTCCTTGGTGTCACTCAAAGAACATTGTCTCTCCTTGTCTCCCATTGTCAGTTGTTGGTGCTGCTCCTCTCCTGTCTGCTCTACAAGAACATATCACCTGGGTACAAGCAGGCAGGAATATAAAGACCTGAGTACACACCACCATGCATCCCATTACACCATGCACCCCATCTGTAATAACTGCTTGAATACACGTGCACAAATCACACCCCGCTCTACCCAGGGCTTAATTTCTCACTGAATTTGTTCTGGGTCCCTGGTAAAAATGGAGGAGTCAGCTAAGAGGTATACTGGATGTCCGGAAATATTCCGTGTCATTGACCCAGACAGACCCAACAGATATTAAGCCCGGTCTCTACACTGGATATGCACACATGAATGCACACACGTACATTCTCTTGCTGTAGCCACACACACACAACTTTCTCACTTGTAGTCACGCAACATTCACATGCACTCCTTCCTGCACACATGCACAGATCATTACATCTTATATACATATCTTCCTCTTTCTGTACAATGCTCATGTACTTTTATTCTTCATTTAGCCTTAAAGTCTGGAGGGACAAATGTTGTGAGTGTGAACAGTGCAAAGACATTCATTATATACACACAACGTGTCTTTGCCTGCAAAATAACTTCAGATCCCGTGAAAAGCTTTACGCATTGATGGTAAAATTGCTGTTTGCATGGTTCTAATAAGGCCTGCAAAGTACATGAGGTGATACATCAAACGTCATGCATGTGGGGGCCACATTCTCCTCCCCAGCTCTGGTGTTTGTGAACGTAATCCGGACGGTACTTAATTTAAAATGAGGCAACCGAGCAGACGCGCACACCAGCACTTGGTGCGTATGATGCAAATAAAACAGAAATGGAAACCAGGTCATTGGGATTATAGCTCAACCCACGTTTATGCCTACCGGTTCTATCTGGGCCAAAACCTTTACTGGTGCCTGAACAAGCTTTTGTGTTTAGTTTGTTGTCCTTCCCCCGCACTTCCGACTAGCATGGTTGGCTACGTACAGTGCGAAAGAAGTTCAACCTACATACTACTGTACCCGAGCTCAGCTGAGCCAGACCAAGTTAGATCCCCTGGGTCATCCAGCCTCATTCTCTCACATTCCCATGTATCACTCCCTACGCTTCCTCAATTTACCTCACCTTGCCCCTGGTGGGTGGTGGTGGCGGTTCAGACGCAATCTTAATGAATATTTTCGAGAAATCTAATGTACCCATAGTTTGTGGTGAGGATATTTAAGTATACATCTAATTTTATTTGGGGTGAAGTGGTGGCGCAGTGGTTATAGCACATCGCGCAATGTACTTTACTTGCGTCTCGAGTTGAATTCCTCTCGATAGTTAACACAGGTGGTGAGTGATAGATGATCCAGTCCTGAACTCTTGCCCCCTTTGCCAACCCACTCTGGCCAGCATGGTGATGTTATCGATTGATGAAGGGCTGTAAATCATCATCTGCTTTAAAATTTTCCACTGTACAGTTAACACCAGTACTCTTGCTGGTTGAGTGAGGTTGGTGATATTATGGCATGCGTTTTGTTTACATCTGATGACAACAGAATCGACCAGCTGACAATGGTAGTGTCTTCCAAAAATGCGGTCTGCGGCTTACTTGGACTACCGTGCGGGGATAGACTGCTCTCAGGCCTATTCACCGACATTAGTTATGGAAACAAAGCATTAATGTAGCATTAATTGCACACTAATTAAATAGTAAACTAACGCTCTTGAGGTTTATCACTTGTGTTAAGATCCTGTAGACAATGCCATAGAAATGTGCCTTAAGATTGAACTTTCCCAGCACTCTGTGAATTTACACAGTTGATGCTTGTTATGAGCCTCGTGTGCCTGCGTTTGTGCCACAGTATATAGTGATACACATTGTAGACTTTTTAAAGCCAATCTTAGATTTTGCACAAATTTTTATTTCGTTTTACAAATATATTTTTAAACGTGATTTTATTATACTGCTTGTTTTATTGAAGCACTTTGCCAATCTTTGTCAGAAATGGCATTGTTTTGATTGTACTGAATAAAGTTTTTAATCCTAATACGTGATGCTAGGTTTCATTCTTTAACAATGTTTCTATGCATTTATAAATGTGAACTATTTTCATTTGCTTTAGATATTGGTAGAATTCCATAGATTTACTTTGCTTGAAAAAAAACTTTCCTGAAAATGTTAACGAGTCTCAATGCCCTTTAGAAACTGCTTAACGATTTGTGGGCGGCATATTTTGTGTGTGGGTTTTGCTGGCGAACAAGTGATGCACTGCATTAGAAACACGGACCTTAACGAAGAAAATGGAACAAAGGCTGTAAAGTGCGTTGAGAGAAAGAGGAATGCATGGAGTAGAGAACATACGCAGATTAAAGACATTTAGATCATTATTTTTTACGGACGAAAACTGAAGTGGGATACGTCGCTTATCGGGATGATGGCCATTGGGCGAAATAATGACAGTGGCAGCCAAGTGATTGATCATGGCTGATGATGGTGCCCTGCAGGTTTGAGTGCCGCATTACGGAACATGGACTTGCTGCGGGCTGCTGCCCGACCTCGAGATGTCCATAACCGTCGCATATTGAGTATCGCCCCCTAGTGTTCTGTCCCTAAGTCTACAGCGTCTCATCTGAAGAACACGAGCAGTACTAAACAATATTACAACAGTGCTTTAATGTGTACTAACGCATACTTATTTTAAATAGTGAAACGTATGGGTATTACCAAGTACAAAATACCTGCATTAAGTAAATATGCCTCTGTACCCTCGTAGTGATATTTTAACCCAGGTCGCCCTTGCAAAACGGGAAATCTTTTACGATTCTCAATGGGTTTGAGAACGTTGCCTTAACACCGCAAGTGGTGCCCATCTGGTACTAAACATGCAGGTGATTTACACATGTGCAATCATTATTTATGAGCAGCAACGATAAACATGCACGTGTATATATGCATAAGCCCCGCATCTTCATAACAGTCCCAAAGTAACACCCACGAATATGAGCGGTATGAAAATAAATGACCCACACGCACGCATGCCGAGGAGGCTATAAATAGCACCTGTAGGTTGCTAAATTTAGCGACTATGCATGGGGAGAGAAATGGGAAGCCTATTTCAGTGGTCAATAAGACACTGCATTGGGACGGTTTTACATCCTGCCTTGTGACAATTGTGAGATAAAGCAAAGGACACTGCCGAGCATGAACGGTAAAGACTTGATGCCATTTCGTCATGATGGTCGGCGGTGGTCGAGACGAATGAGTGAGTGGCAGCCGAGGGAGAGGAAACGCACCCGGGAATACGTCCACCACGGAGATGGAGCGATGAGGTCAGCTTGTGTTAGTGGCGTAGTAACTACGACATTGTCAGCTCAGGTGGTGGGGGGGGGGTGTGCGGCAATCGGTCAGGTGTGGCCCCAATATTTGAATTGTCTCGCACGGTCGCACCTAGGCTATATACCGCAGCGCCTCTTGCTTAATCGCGTCATTACATACGTTTTGTGCTTGCTTTACATTGTTGTTGAAAATATATCTCACATTGTGGTTGTCAAGGGGGGCCCAACTCGTAGCTTTGGCCATCGCGGGGGGTGGCGGTGGTGGCGCGAGGAACTCCGCTACTGGCTCCTGTCGCGAAGCTCAGTGGATTGCACAGTCAGCTTCGTGAGAGATGAGAAATGGCAATGGCTTGGGGAGACATTCATCCAGCACCGTAGTGGATAGATAATGGCTGATGATGATGCTCAATCGCAGTAGGACACTAGGCCAAATTAAAGAGTTAAATTTACCAAGTTGCCTACATTTTCCAAAAATGTGCAAGAACATTTGAAATGCGTTTACAGCGATACATATTTCTAATGCAGCAACAACTCGTCTTTTGAAAATCCAATCGTTTGAAAAAAATACCAGAATTTGGGTGGTCATTCTTCTGTAAATGTTTGCAAGAACTGCAAACCTGCTCTCAATGCTTATCTGGATTTTTTTTTGGTCACGCTTTGGGAATCTTTAACTTCACCGTGTCAAGGTTTCCACGCAGCCGACTGCAGATAACATGAGGTAGACCTTCCAGTTATCTATGAAGCCTACAATAAGGTTTTATCTGCGATAAAGTAAAATTCAGTTCTCATTTTTCAGTTACGGCTACTATATGGCGATCTTTCCACACTTATTTTGGGAAAATGAGTTCATTATCTTCACATCACTGCTGGTTGCAAATGTAATAGACGTTCTCCTATCTTGTGCCTCACTCCCACGCCAAATTGTCAGTCATCGTCTAATCTCTGCACTTTTTACCTACCCTTGTATTGAAGCCACCCATTATTAGCGCAACGCATTATTTCAATTGTAGCACGGCCTTAAAAAGAGAAGTATAATGTTTCAACATATGTTCAAATCACCCTGAATGTGCCTGACCTCATGGGATCATGAAAGAGTCAAGCAGGCCTGAACCTGGATAGTACTTGAATGTGTGACCACCAGGGCTTGCCAAATGTTGTAGGCTCGAGGCTACAAGGTGGTCAAGAGATGGCAGTGCCGAGTGCCACCCTCCCGTACGCTTCGCGAGTTTTCTCTGGTTTCCTTCCACACGAACCACAGTCATTAACGGAATTGGACAAACATCGTAGTGCAGTAGGATCCTCCTGAATATTCGTTTTGGAGGCTCAGTGTGGCTTTCAGAGTAAATACTTGTAATTATTACTTAGCGTATAAGAGGAGATGAGTGATAAATGCTATTTTGTGATCGTGCTGGCTTATGACGAAACCACCCAGAATACGGCGACACTTGCCAGAGCTCATAAGCTGAGCATGGATGAATTTGGATACCATCCAGGTTGTCACGAGTGACTTTGGGTGCATGGTGACCAGCAGATGGCAGTGCGGCAAAATCAACTGCAGTACAGTACTGCCCTGATCCCACGCACCCCCTCCTCGCCTACATAAACTCACATTGACCAGCGTCGTGAAGTATGGCTAAAACAACCCCTACGATCCGCATGGCGTGGGAAAGCTTTCCCTCCTCCGGAAGTGGATTGACAAAAGAATGCAGATGCCCAGTAAACTGTTGGACCAAAGTTGGCCCAACGTTGTTTACCGGGGGTGCACGTGCACGTTTTGTTGTTGACAGTGGAATGAAGGGTAGCAGGAGACGGTAACCGTGATGTCAACATCACGGAGTTGAAGCGATGCCCTTAAATAAAACGTGACAAATAGAACCTCGATGCTTGCCAAAGAAGTTGTGATTAATAATGCAAAAAAATAATTGTATGAATTTATGTACAGACCTCTGAAACAGGATTTAGTTCATATTAACTATATTCTGCTGTTCGTGGCATAAGCATTTAATTTAACATTTGAACGGAGTATTACTGTGTACACAATACCCCAGAGCTGTATGCAAATGGTACAACGAGGGAAGAGTTCACAGCCCTTTCTCAATAACAGGTCCCTGCAGGGTGGGCTGGTAGGACAAGTCTCTGCGCTGTCTATTGCTGATTTTACACCCAACAGCACGAGATTTCACTTCGTTAAAGTATTGAAAGGGGACGGACGGACGGACACATTAATCTATTGCAGGCTGGTACACTCAGTTTACAACTTCGTTCCTACCAGTATAAGCCAATGGAAATGAAGGACGAGCGGTGGCGCAGTGATTAGCGCCCTGATCAATGTACCCCAGTCAACCGAGTTCGATTCCCGGCCGCGGCTAACATCTATTCTGGCGCGTGATGTTTGAAATCGGTCTTTGGGAATCCGCACCTCTTCACCAGAGCGAACCGACCTGCGTGGTGGACCATCATCCTGCAGTGGATGGACAAAACACTGTAATTTATGAATGTGCGCTGGGAATGTTCCGATTCGGATGGGACGTCGCTACATCAGAATTGTGCACCGACAGATACGGATAACCTACTTCGATTGCACACGAAACAACAAAGTTGAGGGTGGCCCAACAGTCAGGCCACGTAGGGTTATTATATTTATTTTAACACGTAACATAGGGGTTCAAACTGATTTCCATTAAGGCGAATGCATGCTTGAATTCTCACTTGAAATGAATGTATTTTAAGATTACAGCTGCCTTCTTCAGCATACGTAATAAAAGAAACCGAATTAAAGCCGTTCGTCTTCAGTCAATCTCCTTGCCATTAGTCACGCGGCCTTCTGGGAGGGAGTGCGTCATTTCGGAAGGACCGTTTTTTAACACGAGCACACCGTGCACCCGTTTCAACACTATGTCTCATCAGCAGAGTCAGGCGTGTTGTGACAAGAGAGATCAATGGAGAAGAGGGTGGGTGGGGGGTAGGGAAATGGGGGGGGGGGGGCAAAGGGGGGCGAGGGGATTGGAGCGGAAGTGGAGTACTGGGACAGGGGGCGGAAGAGTGGGCGCGGAGGGGAGGGGCTGCTGCAAAGACAAAGATCCCCCGTATAGCCTTGACAGACTGTTGGGGCAAGTGCTGTCAGCGAGAAGCACCTATGAAGGCCGGAACGGCTACACGAAGGGGGTGGGTGGCCAGCACCACGCCCGACCGCCTTTGTCTCCCCAGTGGCGATGTTTTTTTTTCCCCCACACCGCACCAGGTACTCATTTGAGGCTGAGCCGACCCAGGGGAAGGCCCAGGACCAGTATTGGATAATCGTCGCGAATGTTGGCCGTGAGCGAGAATCAAACTCGGGTGACCGGGTTCGTAGCGCAGCGCGCTAACCACTACACAGAGTAGCACGGGGAAGGTATTTAAATACTGTACTGCATGTACACAAATAACAAACGCCCCACCTCCATACAGCCTACACAACTAGACTGCTCAAGGGAAGTTTTGTTGCGATCACTTATCGGGGCGCCACGGTGTCGAGACTTCACCTCCAGTTTAGCAGTAGAGGTAGTTGGAGTTTGCGTGTCTCTCCCAGTGGTCGCGTGGGTTTTTCTCCGGGTTTTTCCCCCCTCCACATTTAGAATCAAGATCACGCGTTCAGAGCATTTGGCTCCTCTATATTTAAACACGATAAGCCATAATACGACAAGCCACATCGTTGAGCTATCATTTTTGGACAGGTTGCTTCTGAAAAAGAGCTATATGGCTCAATGGGCCTTACCTGGTAAAATAAAAAAAAAGTTTATAGTTTATTAAGGCAGTCACGGGGCACACGATGGGGTGGTGTGGCCAGATTAGCCTCGGCCGCCTTTATATCCCCAGTACTGATGCTTACACACCGCATTAGGTACAGTACTCATTTAAAACCTGAGTCGACTTACAGCATTTAATTGCTGTTTCTGGTACTCTGCAGTCCCTGGTTCAGTCTTACCCGTCATCTCCGATGTCACCAGCTTCAAATTCTAAATTTGCCCGGTGGTCCTCAAGATCATACCCTTGGTCTGCTAATAATTTTGCACATGCTCGTGATACCCAGCTGACAATTTTAAGATATTTTAAGTAAAATGGTTGAATAACAAATATTCGGATAATTAAAGCCTGAAATGTACACTTTGCAAAATTATTATAAAAAATGAAAAATTAAGAAACAAACTTCCCTTTTTTATGTTATAGCCTGTATGACACAGTGTGGTTTAGGACTGTGAACAGCTCTAATGGCCCCTGGTAGAACAAGATGAAAACCCAAATTGTTATTTTTTTGCGTGGATGTATTACCAACTAATTTAGTTTTTTGAACTTCATTATGCCCTGTATATGAACAGGAGGGGGTGGTGGCACTGCCGTTGGCGTACGTATTGTGCTTTGAACCTAGCCACCTACGTTTAATTCTTGGCCACGGCTAAAAGTGGCAAGTGATATATTAACCGATCCCGCCATACCTTCACCAACCTGCACTAACCAGCACGGCGAAGTAAGGTCAAACAACACCCCTGGCTGATGTAGGGAGGGGACATAATTGGAAGACCCAAAGCCCACAGAGTCTCATGAGAACAGAAACTGTAGTACTGAATTTCGATTTAAAGCTTTCGTGACTGCAGGGATTCATCTTCTGGGTTCTTTCGGTAAAGTCACGTAGAATGGAGACAACATTTTTTTATTATTTTGTCTCCATTCTACGTGACTTTACCGAAAGAACCCAGAAGATGTGGTACTGAACTTGAGCCAGAAAAGGGCTGGTAGAGGGTTGGCATTGCCTGGCTCCCAGCAGTGGCGTATCCAGGGGTGGGGAGAGTGCTATGGTGGGCATTGCCTCCTCCCCCACTGAAAAAAATACATTGAATGTGTTTTTTTCATTAATGTACTTACAATTTTGTGATTGGCTCCCCGCCACACATGCGTGTATGTGTACACACACAGTTGTGTGGTGTGTGTACACAGCCCAGGGTGTGGTCGGATGGAGTTGGTGTGTGTGTGTAGACAGTGCATTGTGCAGTAAAAATACGTGTAGTGTGTTGTGCGGTAGGTAGGAGTGGTTGCCGTTCAGGCGTATACAGTATCTATATGTGCTCACACGGTAAGCCGTGTTACGAGGGAGTTGGTGTGTGTGGCGATGGTCGACTCAACCTCAAATGAGCACCTGGTGCGTTGTGTGTAAGCATCGCCATTCGAGAGACAAAGGCGGCCGGGCGTGGTGCTGACCACCCACCCCCTCGTGTGCCGTGCCCACGGCATTCATGGGTTGCTTACTCGCTAGCAGCCCCAAAAGTCTGGTGAGTCTGTACGGTGGGGAGGGTCCTTGTCACTGCGATGACAGAGAGGGGGAGGGTGTTGGGAGGGGCTCGGGGGGGGGGGACAATGAGAGGGGAGGGGCTGAGAGGGATGAGGAGTGGGGGCTGTGGGGGATAAGGGGCGGTGCTTTGGGGGGGGGGGGGTGAGGAGAGGGGGAGGGGGTGTGATGAGGGGCGGGGCTGTGGGAGGAGAGGGGGAGGGGGTGATGAGGGGCGGGGCTGTGGGGGGAGGAGGAGAGGGGGAGGGTGTGATGAGGGGCGGGGCTGTGGGGGGAGGTGGAGAGGGGGTGGGTGTGATGAGGGGCGGGGCTGTGGGGGGAGGAGGAGAGGGGGAGGGGTGTGATGAGGGGCGGGGCTGTGGGGGGAGGAGGAGAGGGGGAGGGGTGTGATGAGGGGCGGGGCTGTGGGGGGAGGAGAGGGGGAGGGGTGTGATGAGGGGCGGGGCTGTGGGGGGAGGAGAGGGGGAGGGTGTGATGAGGGGCGGGGCTGTGGGGGGAGGAGAGGGGGGAGGGGTGTGATGAGGGGCGGGGCTGTGGGGGGAGGAGGAGAGGGGGAGGGGTGTGATGAGGGGCGGGGCTGTGGGGGGAGGAGGAGGAGAGGGTGTGATGAGGGGCGGGGCTGTGGGGGGAGGAGGAGGAGAGGGGGAGGGTGTGATGAGGGGCGGGGCTGTGGGGGGGAGGAGGAGGAGAGGGTGTGATGAGGGGCGGGGCTGTGGGGGGGAGGAGGAGGAGAGGGGGAGGGTGTGATGAGGGGCGGGGCTGTGGGGGGAGGAGGAGGAGAGGGTGTGATGAGGCGCGGGGCTGTGGGGGGAGGAGGAGGAGAGGGGGAGGGTGTGATGAGGGGCGGGGCTGTGGGGGGAGGAGGAGGAGAGGGGGAGGGTGTGATGAGGGGCGGGGCTGTGGGGGGAGGAGGAGGAGAGTTGTTTACGTCCCGAGCAGTGAAGAGCGCGGAGCCGTGGGGTGGGGAGAGGAGGAGGAGGAGACGACCACGGCGGTGGTTGGTGGGGGGGTGGTGGTGGGAAGAGACGACGGAGAAAGGAAAAGGAGAGAAAGTGAAACGGGGAGAGTTCGGATAGGGTGGGAGAGTTGGGAGGAGAGATTCAGAGATAACGAGAGCGAGACAAAACGCCGAGGGAGAAAGGCGAAGGCGGACGAGGCGAGGATTTGGTAGTGAGGCGGAGCGCCGCTGGGCTCGAGTACACGAGGAGAGGGAAACGAAAGCGCTCGCGGCGAGATTGTTCCCAAAAGCGAGACGGGACACCTCGAGACACAAGGGGGGACGGAGACGGAGCGAGACAGCGGGTGAAGGGGACGAGACGAGAGAGCGAGAGAGACGCGGAGGAGGAGGAGGGAGAGACGCTGAGGGACGCGGAGCCAAGATGGCAGCGGCGGTAGCAGCGGCGCGGCCGGGCCCGAGCGCGCAATGAGCGGGGCGCATCTCGTCCACGCCGCGCGCTCCTCCTCCTCCTCCCTCTCCCATGGCCCCCATCTACGAAGGTGATTACTCCCATCTCATCCACTTCTCTCTCTCTCTCTCTCCACCTCATCACTCCACCCACCACCGTTCTCACGGCGGAGGCCTCGGGAGAGGCAGGCACCCTCTGGCTCGGGGTTGGATGGTGGTGGGTGGGGGCAGTGAGGACCCGGTGTCCGGGTCACAACACCGCCTGTCCTGAGGGCTCCCTTTGTCCAGCAGGATGGGTTTACAGGGCTCGGAACGGCTTCCCCTGTGCTCGAGTTAGGTTCTCGGTGTTCGGTTGGCGGCGGGGGGGGGGATCCCTAGTTCTCGGGTCTCCACCAGCTCGAGTCCCCGGTGTTACCCACGCCTCATCCCCGGTCTCGCCTGCTTTCCCCGCCCGGCGCGGAGCCACGTGGGGCCCCGGGTGGCTCGAGGCCGCCCCATCGCGGGCTCGACAAAGCACGCTTCGCGGTGCCTTCGTGAACGCGAGGGGCAGCCTTTAACGATGATTTTCCAAAATGCAGATCTCGAAACGTGCACACCATCTAGGTTGTGGGGTATACGTGGGGTAAGGATGTATGCTCCTAGCGCCGTGCGGATGCCTGTATTTTGTATCATGTGCGGAGCAGCTGAGAGAGCCTTTATTGTGGAACCAGGTGAGAAGCCATTGAGATCAAGAGCCTGTGTTTAATTAAAGAACGTTTTTAAAAAAATAATACGAAAGGGGACTCTGGGACACAAAGGCAAGTAATGTATAGTGATTAAAAATCTGTTCAAAATTTTAGAAATTGAGAGCTCTCAAGAGCGAAATAAGTAAATGACTAGTAAGCATCTACAACAATGAACGTTGGAAAATGTCAACAGTAGCATCGTGTGGGACCAATAGCATCCGGTCAACATTATTTGGTTGTATATATGTTTGTAGTTCATGAGGACGCGTTGTATAATGTATTATTTGCATCATTCGCAATGACATTTCGGGCCAAGACGTAACGTTAACGCGAGGTACTGTCGAAAAGTTTGTACGACTTGACACTTCCACAGTTTCGTACGTGTTAATGTGAAATTCTATTGGGAGGGTATAACAAAACAGCGTAGCTGAATTAATGTAGAGGAAATCCATATTTTCCATAGCCCATCGAATTGTATCTGATGACGACATGACGTGTATACAAACAACGGTTCCAGGACTAAAGCAGGAAGTTATTTTTCCCCAATTACATTCCTTAAATAATTATCAAATAGAGCAAGTCAAGATCTATAAGTATCTTGGCGTCATCCTGGATTCAAAACTTAATTTTGAAGATCACATTGATTATATTGGTAAAAAGACAAAAATAAAAATTGGTTTTCTGTATCGACACAAGCACTGCTTCCCCCCCAATGTTCTGTTTGGAATTGATACAAGCTACTATACTGCCTCTACTTGACTACTGTGACATCGTGTATAAATCAGCCCCAAGTACTGTACTGAAGAAGCTTGATTCCATCTATCACTCGGCCTTAAGATTTACATTGAACTGCCCATATAGGACTCACCACTGTGATCTCTACATTGGGTCAAACTTAACATCTCTTAATGTTCGACGGCTTGTGCACCAGATCATATTTATTCACGATATACTTACAAAAAAATCCGCAGACTGCCTGCTGGATCTCCTCTCTGTTTCAAAGAACAAATTTGACCTCAGGTCTTCGCTCATTTACCAGCTTCACATTCCCTATTGCCGTTCAAAAACTGAAGGGCCTTTGCTATTGATGCCCCAGGTTCTGGAATGCTATTGCCAATAAACTGCAACTTGAATCGCTACCAATGAGTACTTCTCTCAAAACTGCTATAGAGGAGTTGTACACCCCTAGCTGCCACTGCTATTCATTGGCGTAAAATAAAATGTTTCGCTCCGGATGACGCTGCAAAGTATTATCTGTATTTTGATTTAGCCTGCTGATCATAAAGGTGCATTGAAAATGTGATACTCCGACTGATGCTTCTGTTGTTGTGGAGTAACTCATGCAGCCAGCTATGGCTCTAGGATTTGGTGTTACATGTTATTTATGTAGTTTATTGTTAAAATTCGGTCACAGTCCCTGTGATCACTGTTACGTTGCGATTATGGCTTTAGTTTTTGGTGATTTGGACAAGTTTTTTGGTTTGGACATGTTTGTTTTGTTGTAGCACGGAGTTAGACTGATGGCCGTAATCTAAGTTTTCTTGTGGTTGTTGTTGTTGTTGTTTTGACTTGCATCCCACTGGGATTTTTTGCACACAGCGTTGGTGTACGGTGCTTTTTTCAGGAATATTTTGCTGTTTTTTTCATGGATTTTCTGTTTGCACAGTCAGTCACTTTAAGATGTTTTTCTTGTTCGTGTTTTAGTTTTTGTTGTAGTTGCACCCGATTCAAGAGCCGAATGGCTCACAGGGCTATACCAAAATAAATAAACTGAAAAACTGAAACTATAGACGTTCCAAAATCCAAGCCAATTCAATGCTCCCCGCCCCTTGGTGGCCCATGTTTTCTTTCACGTTACATGCAGCTGCCTGCAGTGTCAACTTTTGTATATGCAGCTTACGCCTGCAGCAAACTTTGCAGAATATCGTAATGAAGCATGGAGGGATGCATGCTTCGAATAGCATTTGCAGAAGTGATGGCGAACACATGGATTAGAGAACATCGTCAGATTTAAAGATATAATTCATATTGTTAAGAAAAGTGGACTAGGGGCAGGGCATCGCTCCAGGGGATGACGACTGATGTTTAAGATTAACAAGGTAGTGGCGGCCAATGGATACAATGCAGCCGAGTTAAAGTCCACCAGATAGAGAGATGGAGCGACAAAATTATACTGTGTGTGGGTTGCTAGGTGGATCGTTGCCTCGTAGGATCGTGAGGGATTATTTCGGCTATTTAAATGAGCACGTTTATTCCATATGGTTTGTCCACGTCTTGAGATGCATTCATATTTAGCTACTGCACTCAATATATTTTAATACCTAACCTTTGAAAGATGCTACGCAATATTGGGTGGCAGGGGAGAAATGGCATAACGATTAGCGCACTGCGCTATGATCCCTACCACAAACGTTTGATCCCTGGCTCGGGCTAACAGTGGCGAGCGAACTCTGAACCAGTCCAGGACTCGGCTATGCTTTCTTCAACAACCCGCCCTGTCCAGCATGGTGAACTGTGTGGTCATACAGCTTCCATGTCTGATGTGGTGTTTGTAGGGAGGCCGTCTATTTATGCATTGTCCAAAGGCTGAACTTTGTTATACAAAATTGGGGGAAGGTTATGCAACCATTGACAACAGGGGAAGAACATGTTCTTTGGGTGGTTTGCAGGGTTTTACCAAGGAAGTTGGTTACAGAGGGTTGATATTTATATATACAACCTTGAGAATATGTCCAGAGAGATATGTGTGGAGGAGTGACAGAAGTAGAAGGCTTTTAATAAAATCACCCGGGATAAAGAACAGCTTAATGTGGAGAAGAGGAAGTCTTTTCGACACTTGAAAGGATTTTTTTTTAATAATCCAAGTTGTGTAAATTTTACCTGGAATTTGCACGATCCCCTCAGATATCAGAAGCTAAACAGGTTTTAGCCTGGCAAGTGCTTGGACGGCCGACTGTCATGCACAAACAGTTAGAGGTGTTCTAGACTGTTACAGGAATACATTATCATCAAAGGGCAGTGTAGAAAAATCCATTTTACTATGCTGTGCTACATTGCCTATGCTCCCTGCCTTTACCAACCCACACTGACCAGCGTCGTGAGGTACAGTCAACCAGCATAATGTGCACAGTGTGGGAGGCACTTCATCTAGCAGTGGATTGACCAAAAGGCGTACATGTATATAAAGTACATCTCGCTGCGTGATTCTGGATATTGCATGCCCACAATGGGAAGTTTCAAAGTAAAAAATATTGCAGTTACGGGTTCTGTTGACAGATTTTCCATGTCGTGGTATTGTGGAATTTCCATCATTGGCTTCAGAGCCACCAATGGAGAATAGTATGTGGACATGATAATAGGTTTTCCCATTTTTTTCTGGCAACAAAACAGGTGTTAAGATGTTGAAACACCAAACAGAAACCTTTTACAAAGAATCATGTCTGCATTAACCACAATGCTTGTGGTCAGAATGCAAACAAAAAATGTTTTGCTATTTCTACAGTTAATGGGTGCAGACCACAGTGGTTTACTATGTGGTCCTTAGTTTTGGTTGCATATCCACAATATCACTGTGGCTGCTCATTAGCTTTCTATTTATGAAGGAGATTTGCATATCAGCTTGTTGATGATATGATACTGTGGATGGTGCACTGGTGCCTTCGACCAATTTTAAATCCAGGCGGTGCAATATTTGGGTCTCGAATTAGGTGCTTATTCTGGATGTCCGTGTTCCACTCCTTTCGCCAGCGTTCTTCTGGATCTGGGTCAGATTCTAGAATGCTGACAGCACGATTCCAGAAGGGGCGATTGGAACTTGAGTTGGCAGCGAAAGTACATTGTTGAGGTCTTGGTTAATGTGAAGGCAGTTGTTGTTGCAAGAAAAGTGTCGGCTCCCTTGCATGTCTATGTGGATATTTGGTGGTATAATGTTTGCCAGAACAGGAAGCCAGACAATTGGTGTCGGTGTCAGTGTTCTTGTTATGATGCGCATTGTGTTATTTACCTGCTCATCTAACAGTGTTGTGTAAGAGCTCCCAAACCAGGCTGTAGTGCAGTACTCTATCACCGAGTAAATTAGTGATTGGGCGGCAGTTCCCAGCACGTCAGCTGAGATACCCCGGGTTGTGCCTGCAAGTTTCTGTAGCGGGGCTATTTTTGATTTGGTATGTTCACAGATCTCTTTTATGAGATTTTAAGGTTAGGCTTCTGTGCATGATAACCCCTAGATATCTTGGAGTGGGGTCATAGCGCACTTGGCTACCACAAAAGGACACAAGAAGAGCAGCATATGCTGCATGATTGTTCAGGTGGAAAGCACACTTTTCGTAATTTTGGAGAGATTTGGACAGTCTCCAGTGATGGAAATA